TTATTATATATAATGTACATAATTTAACGTACAATAACATAACATTTCATTTATTATTTTTTATTAATAGAGAAAATAATTTGGAAGAATATAGCTTAATAAGTTGTGTATTGAATTTATTTTTATATCAATGAGGGTTTTAATGTAATTCCATATACTACATGAGCAATTTTTTTTGTGAATTCACTATTACTTAATTTTGCTCATACAAAGCTTATACATTCAATATTTTAATTGATTTACATTAACATGTGTGAAAATTCCAATAAGTGTCGAAACATAATTTATTATTTGAAAGCACGAGAAATACTCTGCTATTTTAATTATTGCGAAAAAAATGGAAACATAAGCTTGCAAAAAATAAAGTTTATTCTAATTTTGTTTTGCATATAAATCTTCTGCTACTTAGTAATACCTAATAATAATAATAAGCAAGTTTTAGTTCAGCATAAATAAGAATAAGCAAGTCAGTTTTTCATAAAATAAGAATAGCTTGCATATCTTTTTTCATAAAGTTTTTATATTAGTTTTAAACTACATACAGCTAAAAAATTATTTAAATATTTATTTTCAATGCAATGGTTTTTGCGATTTTGTGATCAATTCTTATAGACCAAGAGCCAGTGAACCTTTTGAATAACGGTGTTCCTGTAAGGCTAAAAATTTTTGTACAGGTGATTCTTAACGTGCTAAGTACGGAAACGACGGTCTGGCAGGTTTTAGCCCTGCACAATCATGGTCGTCCAGGCGTTTGAAAGTGTAAAAAAAACCCGAAAATTAAACTTGTTCCTGTAAGGTTCAAATTTTTATACGATGTAATTTACTCATTGAGAAGTTCGAAAATCAATCTGCCAGACCATTTCGACCTGCACAAGTACCTGCCAGACGAGCCGGAAAGTGAGCAAAAAATGCCCCAAAATAAACTTTGTCCTGTAAAGCTGAAATTTACATATGTGTTTATCTAAGCAATTCGAAAAAGGTCTGTGCAATTGCCAGACCATTCTGGCTAGCATAAGCCCTTGCCAGACGCGGGCAAAAATGCTATGGCGGGAGGCGAGTAATAGGCGTTGCGTGAAAACTTATAGCATATATTCAAACTATATTATGAGAAATTACAAATTATGGTCAAAATAAATTTAATTAGTCACAATAAAATATATATTATCATGAATTAATCATCATTATCAGATATATCGCTAATTAATACTTCAATTCAGGCTTCTATTGAGTATCAATTGAATTTTCTGAAAATAGGTGAAAGTTGGAAAGAAACATTTATTTCTGAATGTTCAACGGAGGGTAACAGATTTGAAGAAAAAATTTCACAGGTAAAAATTATGAATTTCTTTTTCAGAAAAAAAAACCTATTAAAGCTAATAATAAAATTCACGAAATTCGTGTCCAACGTGATTTGGTTGGTCGCCTGTTGGCGCGATAAATCCAATATAATATTGATCTTCAAAAAACCTTATCATATCTCATTACAATTGTTAGCTTCCCGAAGAAGTTTGTTTTCATCAAAAAATCCCATTGGTTTAATTTTATGTTTTCTCGACGTTTCACGCTATTCTGAATCGAATGAGACCAAATTTGGAAAAAGTGAACAGATTTTTTTCCGTAAGTAAATCGACGTTTTCTAAAAAACGACTGGACCGATTTAAAAATTCATCAAAATTTGCAAAAATTAATATCGCTTTTTTGGCATTTGTCAAAATTAGACCTTTTATCGATGTTTGCTCAAAAACGCCGGAACCGATTTCAAAAATTCAAAAGCCATTTGATGTACATCGATGAGAACTATCGTTTGTCAGTTTTGTGCTACGATCTGCCGTTTCTTTGTAATTTGGAAAAATGTGTTAAACTTTTCATCCATATTTAAGCTCATACTACGAGAGACGTTCGAAAGATATTAGTTGAGAATGATATTGATTAGTTTTAGGTGAAAATCTACCGAGCCGTTTTCTTGTAATTAACTGTTGAAAACAAAATTTAAGCCGATTTTTATGGAACTTTTTTGGGGATATATATATCATGGTCTTATAGAACTTAGTGAAATATTACCGCATTACGATAAGTAGTTTAATTTTAAAAATTCATCAAAGATTGAAAAAATGAGTATGAGTACTTTGTAAATTTTCATTTTCACATTTGTTAAAATTAAAATTAGACGATTTACTTAGTATAACGATAGAGTACATGGTCTTAATGAACATACTGAACCATTAAAGTCCTACGAATACTGATTCAATTATAAAAATTATTGATTTGTGAAAATTTGCTTTTAGAAAATACTCCGAGTTAACGTGTTCGTTCGTTTTCAATTATGTGTAATAAATCCACTCGTAATACTCTTAATCACTCATAAATTAATTTATTTTTTATTGATTAAGTCGGGAAGTTCATGTAACTTGCCTCAAGGCAAAGTACGAATACCAACTAGTTTTAATGTTACTTTGCCACGCAGATGGAACTATCTATAAAACCGCGAAAACAGCAATGATTGAAGTCTTGCAAGCAAATATAACTGATAACGAAACAATTTGGTATAATGCTGTTGTTTTCGATGGACTTTATCACTGCATTCAATGAAAAATATACCAAAAACATTCGGTAATATTTCGAAATAATAATGTCTATTTTAGCGGCAGCACATGCTGCACGAGTAGATATAGTTTTCAAATAGTCATTTAAAAGTACCAACAATTCTTAAATCTCAAAATACTGGCTGGATATTGATTGAAAAAATATTTGATTTCAATTAGTTTGTGGGAGATACCGTTCCTTCTTCAAATTTTGAAATAATATCACAACATCCTTCTCGTATTGCTGAGGAGGATGCAAACAGAGCTGATCAACACATAGGCGGTAATGTTAAAATTTTTAAATTTGTAATATTTTATATTTATTATATTATTAATATATTTAAATTTGTTTTTTTTTTATAGACGATAAGTCAGCAATGCCGAATCTTATGACGATGAAGTATTAATTAGCGATATATCTGATAATGATGATTAATTCATGATAATATATATTTTATTGTGACTAATTAAATTTATTTTGACCATAATTTGTAATTTCTCATAATATAGTTTGAATATATGCTATAAGTTTTCACGCAACGCCTATTACTCGCCTCCCGCCATAGCATTTTTGCCCGCGTCTGGCAAGGGCTTATGCTAGCCAGAATGGTCTGGCAATTGCACAGACCTTTTTCGAATTGCTTAGATAAACACATATGTAAATTTCAGCTTTACAGGACAAAGTTTATTTTGGGGCATTTTTTGCTCACTTTCCGGCTCGTCTGGCAGGTACTTGTGCAGGTCGAAATGGTCTGGCAGATTGATTTTCGAACTTCTCAATGAGTAAATTACATCGTATAAAAATTTGAACCTTACAGGAACAAGTTTAATTTTCGGGTTTTTTTTACACTTTCAAACGCCTGGACGACCATGATGTGCAGGGCTAAAACCTGCCAGACCGTCGTTTCCGTACTTAGCACGTTAAGAATCACCTGTACAAAAATTTTTAGCCTTACAGGAACACCGTTATTCAAAAGGTTCACTGGCTCTCAGTCTATTATAATATATTTTTTTTAAATGCTAGTCCGTCGTATTACTGTCAGTTTCAATTGTTTATCTCTATATTAATCAAATAGGTTTGAAATCTTTACTTATAAAAAATAAATAAATATTAGTTCAAAAAAAAAAAACAATTTTAGCAGACTAGCAAGCAAACAAAAAGCAAAGCGACGAAAGGAAGGTTCAATATTTATTAAATTATATGAAAAATAAACTTGATTTCGACTAATTATTTAGAATTAATAATCGCAAAAAATATTTTGTGTTTTACATTTTCTAGCAATTTTGTAATGACTTATTTGCATTTCGAGATAAAATCATATTCATGTTATTGTTATTTTTAAAAAGTTGTAGAGGAATTATTCGCGAAAACGTTCAAAATACGGATTATTTTGCGTAAATTGATGTTATCATAAACTTTTCTGCATAAATTAGATTGCCGGTGCGTATAATTTAATTGAATTAAACTTTAAGATTAATAATAAGATAGAAGAAAATATTTTCATTGATGTAGCTTCAACAAACATCTCAACCATATAATATATATAATAATAATACAGAATATTTAGAGATAAGATGGTTTATATTTAACAAAGATACTTTATATCTTTGTTAAATATAAATTAGTTTTATAAATATGCAAATTTGACGTATGAGATGGTATTAAGGGCTAATTAGTTGAAGTAAATTGATAAATTCATGATTATTTGACTAACTAATTCTAAAATAATTAGTTTCAAGAACAATTGATTAAAGGGTGTAATATATTAACACAGGTATAGATTTATTGCATGTAACAAGTGATGTTTGTTTTTCCTATACAACATGTTACACATGCCTGGGCTACAGGTGGAAATCAATACAGCAGTATGGAAACGATGTCTAGAAAATAAAATATCTTCGAAGATTTTGTTTTTCTGTTTTTACTTTACTTTTACTGTTAGTTCATGCTTTAAAACTTTTTACTTTATAATGACGTTACCTGTGTACTTTATTAGTTTTGTTATAGAACTTGACAACGGAATAAAAAATTGATTGTGGAAGATTCCATATTTCCTATGGTTTTTGCAGAAATGTAATTCTATATGTAATGAATTATTATTTGGAATTGGTCATGCTTAAGATAATGACGTTATATGTTTTCTTTTTTAGTTTTGTTATAACTTGTATGTAACTTGACCACGGTATAAAAAGGTGGTAGTGGAAGATTCTATATTTTCTATGATTTTTGCAGAAATATGACTCAATATGTAACGAATTATTATTTGAAATCAGTCATGCTTTATATATAAATATTTATATAATAATATAAATTATTTTGATGTTTATTATTTGTTGTCATTCATTTCCTTGTCTCTGTCTCTTTATCATACGAGTAGTTGTACGCAACAAATTTAATTATAATAGATCAATACTAACCTTATTTCACAAGCATGTACTTTTGCGTTTCACTGTACGCACGCACCACGGTTTGAGACACGAAATTTTAAGCGACGACAGTCTATGTATATTCTTCGACAGATCTAAAATCTATCGAAAAAAAATTAAAATTCTCTCCTTTCCCGGTCGGCGGTCACTTTAACCTGAACACGACAAATCCCGTGCGAATATATGAGAATATTTCTTTGTAGAATGTACAGGATCGGAGGATCGCGCGCGTTTTGTGTGCGACGCCCACCATCGGCGCCGTTATATAAACAGGGCCGCCCCTCTACGATCGATAAGCGTAGCCCGTAGAGCGAGCGCGACGCAAAGCCGCTACGGCGCTAGTGCTGTGTGCAAGAGGCTCGAGCGAGATCACGGACGATTCACTCATCGAATTGATTGATTTGTTACTTTTTTTTGTTTGCACATTATTCTATCTGAATTGATCATTCTTACAACCGAATTTATGAAAGTAATATTAATATTTCAGTTACACGATGACTTCGTTTATTGCTAATAATAATAATAATAATACAAGCGGGGCAGAATGGTCTAATTTGACTTTAAGTAATTATACTGTCTGAATAAAACTTGCACCACAACATGCGCATTCTAGGTAATTATATTTTTCTAAAATTTGTCATGTTTTTCTTTTCACTCTATATGACGGGTGAAAAGCTCGGGAGCAAACAGATCTAATGTCTCAATTTTAAATTTAAAGAGACATTATGAAATAATAGCTGGATTATTCAATCAATGCGATACATAAGTTTGATGGGCACAAAAATGACAACGTATATAACCTTGATCTAGTATTTTGTCAGAAATATTTATCAGCAGAATAGGAATAACTATTAACTTGATTTAACTCTTTTAATATTTACTTAACTTACTTTTTTATTCACTATTTTCTTATTGTTTACGCCTTTACGAAGGTAAGTTTCAGTTGGTCCTTTTTACTTCATATTAGAGGTTAGTTAAATCTGACTTAAAATTAACAATACATTGTATAAAACAATTAAATACGTTATACATAAATATTATATTAAGGCCTCGTATACTCACAACCAAAAAAATAACAACGAAAAAAATACTTTTGTTATGCATTTTCAAACATTACCATCCTGTTGTAAGAATCAAAGTGATGCATATATGCACCTATTGCTTTTCACTTTCAAAAAATGTTCATAAAAATGCCTAACTTTACTTGTTTTTGACATATTTGTGATGGACCTTTTTGCCCGCGGGCCTTAAACCCTCGCCCTATTCTATATATAAAATATATAGATTTGGCATTAATTCATTATTTAATATTAAGGCTAGAGCTATAGCCTTACGATTTGATTTCTAAGCCAAATCATCTGCCGTTAACGTGTACAAAATTACAAAAACTTAAGGTTATTTAAAATTAAATTCAAAATAATCAACTTTATAATTTAAATTCTATTGCATCCACGTCATTCAGAATCACAAAGAAAATGAATGCTATAGCATTCACATCCGCGGACTTAATTTATTTCCGTTAATTTATTTGTAGATGCGACCAAAATGTATTTCATCAATAAATATAATATGATACAAATACAAATTAATATTGTTTTTCATTTTATTGTAATATCAATAATATTGCTGATGATGAAAGAATATTTGTTTCAAAATGCTAAAAATTTAACGAGATTATATTGAGTAATGATTTCATTTGGTTGGATATTATTAGCGAAAAACGCCTACATCTCATAAACATAGATGGATGTGGAAATTTTAAAGATGCAAACAATTTAACTAATATTGGTGTATACACACCCACACACACACATTACATATATATATATATATTTATATATATATATATATATATATAACGTGCGTGTATGTGTGAATGTATGTATGTGTCGTGTGCAATAATTGTATGCATGTATGTATGGACTTGAGTACAAATAAATTATGCACCATTTTTGTCTCTGTATAATAATTATTCTTGTCTGGACATGACACATACTCTGTAAAACGTATAATGAATTATGAAATAGTTCTATCTTTCGAAATGTGTAGTTGACGTTTCAATTCAAGGATTACTTCGCCCAGTAAGTGTATTTTGTAGTTCAAAATTAAGTTGATTATTTAATTCCTTCAAATGCATCCACTATTTGTATAGATTTAATTAAAAATCGATACTGTTGTTGTTTAAATGAATATTGATACCGACGCAGTAAACTTTCGTTATCTGTTTCGAATCATTATCTATTTCATTACACTTGTCGAGATAATTCGCGCGTAGTCCCTAGGCTATAATCGATATTTGTAATTGGAATTTTTTGCATTTTGATGCGAGACTTCGAAAAAGGGAATTACTCAACTTCAACACTCCTGAATTTCGTTGAATGTCATATGTATACAAACTACAGCGATCATAATAATTTATGTATCATATTCACACTGCTGTCTCTGACATGACTGGAAAAATATGATACCCATGTTTCTTTAAATTTTGTCTTATTCTGAAAGAATGCTATGAAAGAATTTATTATGTGCTTATTTAGGAAGTAAAACAATAGTATAAATGTTCCAAAATTTGTGCATTATTTGATTTTGAATCAAGTTATTGTCAGTACCAAAATCAGTCAATTGTGGAATTGTATATATATATATATATATATATATATATATATATATATGTGGTACATATATATACAGGGTAGAGCGGGGAACAAAGGTTCAATTTGACTTTGAGCAAATATATTGTGAAAACCAAATCATATATCACACCAAATAACACATAACAAACAATTATCTGACTATATTTAGTAAACCTTCCATTATTCATCATTGTAAAAATGGTTTTTCTGCTATTTTTAAAAATGGCTTTTTTCAGCCATAGGGCAAACAGATCAAAAGTATTATTTTTTATTTTAAAGAGATTTTACGAAGTAACAGCGACATTATTTAACCAAAGCAAAATAGAAAATTTATGGCTACATTATTCACAGAGATAACACTGTAGATAACCTTGATCCGGTATTTGTCGGAAATAATCATCAGCATAGTTCGAATAACTATTTATTTTAATTATTTCTTGTGCAATTGCTTTTTTTAACTTAATTTAATTTTTTATTTACTATTTTATATTATTTACACCTTTGTAAGAATAAAGGCTCAGTATTTTTACCCGACTCGCGAGTAATCTTTTCTAAAGTTTATATGAAAAAAACTGTTAAATCTAACTTAAATATAACAATGCATCTTATAAAACAATCAAATAACGTAGATGTTATATTAAGATGTCATAAACTGAACAACAGCGCTCACAACCAAGAAAACTAACTACGAAAGAAAATACTTTGGTTATGGTTTTTTAAACATTGCCATTTATCTCCTGATAGCAACATCGTATATATCAACGTGATGCCTGGCTATACGTCTTTTTACCTCTTCTTCCAAATATTGTTAAAATACTGACTTTATTTGTTTTAGGAATATCGGTGGTGGTCCTTTTTACTTTTTTGTTTTCGTAAAATAATGTAAAATAGTATGGTATTTGGTACCAGTCTATAATACGAAGAACTTCTAACCTCAAATGATTTTATACTACGGATAAGTTCTTGCAATCACAATGGCTATTATCTGAATTAGAATGGTAGCACAGGTGTAACCTAAATCAATGCTTTGTGCTGCACACTAATCTGGCTATTAATTCACAGCATTGATACGTTTTTCGTAGTAATTTCTAATTCTAATTTAAAATAACATTAATCAATTTATTTAATACTTTTTGATGCGATATTTTTAGAATAATGTAATTAAAATTTCGACGTTTTTCAAGCCTTGCAACAAGAATATATTGAAACAATCATAACGGATGTGCTATTTTTATAGAATATTATTACCAGATATAACTTACTTCTATATTTAATTTTTTTTTAAGAATCTTCATTTAATGGAGTCTCTCGAACGTTCGAACACCCTGATTTATTGCAAAGCTCCAATGTATCTACTTTATTTACTTTACTCCCAGACAAAGAGCATTGTTTCTCATGTTCGATTTTATGTCTTTGTTTTCAAAATATAAGCAACAGAAGATAAATCTTTTACTTGATGAAAATAATTTTTTAGCGGAAATAACTGCGTCTTTGCGTATGCATGCATATAACTGCAACGCATATATACTAAAGTATATAAAATATAATAAAAAAGTTTTTAGAAAAAATATATCTTTATTTATTTACTGTCGACGTTTCGGAACTAGACACGTTCCATCTTTAGCACATCTGTCAAGAAACTGATCTTGATAAGATTTAAACAAACAGTATATTTAAGAGTAGAGTTGATATATATATATATATATATATATATATATATATATATAAATATACATGTGGTAGATTACAAGTACATACCTTTACCTTTTTTCAAAGATACTGACTTAGCACGGCGCTTATCTTCTTAAAATTAAAATTATTAAAAGTGCTGTTTTTATCTATGTTTAATTTTCGTCTTTTTTTCGTTTAGCTCGCGTTTCTTATTCTTATTCAGTATGCATTAGCAAGCACTATAGTACATAACTTTTTTCTTTACAGATTTAATTTATTATGTATAAACATAAAGTGCCATAAGAATATAAACGTAAGTGTACGGTGCGTTGATAAGAAAAAAAAACGAAAACAATTTCTGACTTTGCGATGTCACATCGAAAAAAATAATGAACTTCTTTCAGATAGAAAATGCAAATCGACACGCAACTTCTGATCAAAAGATTTACTCAACTCATAGAGTTGTAGCGCATGAACTTTCCTTCTTGAATAAATTTACATTTATATGAGATGTAGAATTTAATGAAATATGTATATAGTGCAGAAAAATCTCAGCAGCGTTTTTAAAGTGTTTTAGCTGGACTTTCTTTAAATGCGTGATATATTTTAAAAATGCTTCCCATGTAGTTTGTATAAATAATGTTATATAATTTTATTACAATTAAAATTTCACTCAATATATTTACAAGTATATGCGCACAATTTCATATAAAATATGTATGTCAACTGAATCTTATGTTAATTGCTATATATTAACTTTCAAGAGCCAAAGTTTAATTAGCAAAAAGTCGAACTTGTACAAATTAGAAACACCGGGAATACTGAGGAATTCTAATAAAACATCACAGTCGTCAATTTATGAAGGTACTCAGAGTTCAAGTAATAATATATATATATATATATATATATATATGATATTATAAAATAGCGGGCTATTAACAAATTATAAGAATATGAATGATAGGAAATAAATTGATGAATGATAAATAAAATATATTCATTTGATCTATTTTTAATTGTGCAACACGAATGAATATTAACCATTTAATATTAAATAGCAATAATAATAATTTCAAACTTTCATACATATGTTTTTATTTGCGATAAATAAAATTCGAAAATAAACTAGTGGGGTGTATGGCATCGTGCCTTAAGGCAAATTGCTGGGACTTCCCGTACCGTAACGGAATGCTCGAGGAATACTGAATGTTTTCTAATATATTATTATTAATATTGTAACATTGTCTAATATTTATAAAAATTATATAAACTGAATTGCAAAGTTGAAATTATTTGTTTAAAGTATATTACAACTATAGTCAGAATTAAAAATAAAATCTGAATTATTTTCGATATACAAAAAAATTGTTTTTTGCCATTCTTTACACATTTAGCTCCGTATTTTCGAAATGGTTGGGCCTGCCTTTGCCAAAAACTAATAAACACTTCTCCCAATCATTACTAATTGAATGTTTTTTAGATCATTCAAATCGGATGCTCCGTTCTCTCAAAAACTCGATTTCTATTTCTTTTGCACTCTTTGCTCCTTATCTCCGTAACTGCTGGACCTGCCTTTGCCAAAAACTAATCAGCTCATCTTCCTATCAATAGGAATCGAATGTTTTTTCAACCATTCAAATCAGTTGATCCGTGAGCCCGAAAACGTGACTGGAAATTTGTATCCATACATACATGCACACACACACATCCATTTTTTCTGAGGTATGCCAAAATGTTCAGAAACCTTCAAAACGTCGAGAAATGTAAAATTTTTTAATTTCGATTTTCGGTCCATTCAATAACTCACCCTACGGGAAGTTAATTATGCGTATTAGGGAATCATAATTAACAGAAAGACGTATAGAACTAAACACTTTTATTGAGTACAAATAAATGTATACAGTTAAATATTTTTATTACATATTAGAAAAATAGGACAATACATTAATCATCAACAGTATAGTAGATTATATTAAATATTCTGATATAATGTAATCTATCCTTATATGAATACATAAAGTAATATAAAGCTAAAACTAATTGTAAATCATTAATTAAATAATAAGCAATTCTTATGTACAACATATGATGAGATCACTAACACTAAATTTATTAAGTTTAGTTCTTTAATAATATATAAAAATAATTTAGATGGTATAAAAATCCTAACTTTTAATACAGCTCTTTTTCGTGAATATTTAAGATCAGTGCTGTTATCTAATTACTGCTAAATCAAAGATGAAAAATTTGTCATGTGTATTTGTTTCAAAGTGCTCTACATCTCCAATGTATTCCCATTCTAATAAATATGTTATTATCATAAAGTTACAATGAAAATTCAATTAAATTATTATATCAATAAGCAGCACCTCATATTTGCTAATTAAATAAACTTATTTCATGAACATGCAATTTGCATACAACAAAAATGATTTGCGGGCTAGCATTATTGCGACTTTATGATTTATATTAAATTATGTGAAGGTACAATTACTTATTGACTAAATTTACAATTACATATAATTTTTAATGATTTCAAAATGTTATTCTTATTAATGTATAACAGTAAAATATATTTGTGTACTTTTGTTTATAAAGGAACTAAAAGCAAGGAAAACAAAATATCTCATATATATATATATATATATATATATATATATATATATAATTTTATTTTCGATATGGCTTTTGAGTACAAAATAAATTATTGATTGTAGTAGATCACAAATTTCAAGGCTTGATAGGCGTTAGAAAATCTATATTGTAACATATAATTACTACATAAAGTATTTCTAAATTATATATCCTTGAATATATCTTCGTAATATAAATAATATCTATGAATACTTTAAATTGCTTTTTAATATTCAATATGGTGTTTAATAACGTTTGAAATTAATGTAATACTTTGCCACTTACCATTATGTTATTAAATTTAGGTTGCATTTTCATAAAAAAACATAATTTGGTTATTTCTTATTCATATTTTCGCAATCATTTTTGTTTTATGACTTGTATACTTTTTATGATCTTAATTAACGATACCGAATATGAATAATAAAAATAAATCATGCCCATAAAATGCTTCAATAATTTTAACAACATAACGGTCATGTGCTACCTGCAATGCCTCCTTTATTAATAAATCACATGTAAGAATTCATATAATACATGGACAATTACGTTGTAAGGCCTCGTGTAAATTATGAAATTATTTAATTCGTGCGTCGCCGAGCTTGATCAGTCCGAAAAAGCTCTTGGTTGGCTCGAAGAGCGCGTAGCGCATACCTCCGAGGTCTCGAATGCTGATGCGGTCTCCGGCTACGAGATGAGAGGCCGCTGCCGTGTAGCACGTGTTGCTCTTCGCTACGCGCTCGAGAGAGTGCGTCATAGTGGTGCACTGGAGCAAAGGCTCATCATTACGGTACACGCGGTAGCCGTTCGTATCATGTTCGTCTAGGTAGTGGACCTGATAAAAAAATGCACTTATTAATTATTGATTGACAATAAATGAGATTTTATGAGATCGCGCTACGTAGCTGTTTTAACCCTCCGTCGGTCGGATATTTATTCACCTTCGAACGGTCGGAGTGGTCTAGCTGGGCCACCATTCATTTTACATGCATTTATATAGGGTATATGAGTTTTTGGTGTCTTATATATTAACGATTATTAGTAATAAATATTTATAGTTTTGATTTTTTCTTTTTTTACCGTCTTTTGCATGTGTTGAGCTTGTTTATAATAAAAAAAATTATATATTATATTATATTATAAAAAAAATCAAAGAATATAAAAAAATCGTCGCTTTTTTATTATTTTTATTTTTCTGTTTTATATCAATGAAATTGTTGAAAATATAATTTCACTACAGGTTTCATTACTCATCCGATTTTCAATGTGTGCGATGACCAATAAATTTGGTAGGTTTTCAAGGAACTCTCGTCGTGAAAATGCTAACATTCATGTTACAACACATAGCAAAGAATATATAAAATGCAGTTTGAATAGAAAATACCAGAAAAAAGACAAAATACTGGTTTACATATATCAAAAAGCGTATATTTCATACAAAATGTATGGGTGGTCTAGACAGACCACTCCGACCGTTCGGAGTATAAAAAACTTAATATCCTTATAATTATCTTTCGGTACACGTTTGTCCTGATTTTTTCATTGATCGACAGCTAATGAAATTTTAGGTAAAGTCAAAAAATTTCAAGTCGATAGGATTATTAGAAGTATTTTTTTTAATTGAAGTCGAAAAAAGTCTGGGCAGACCACGCCGACCGACAAAGATGAATTTTCGAAGCATTGCTGTCCAACAAATAAACATTGGTACGGATCCCATAGAAATCTAAACAAAACTTATTATTAAAATACCAATAAAATACCTGATAATTTGATGTGCATATGTCTAATGATCATTTTTGACCGCCAGATGGCAATTTTTGAAATTTAACCAGTTCTTCACTTCGTCAGTACAAATAAAATGTTTCCTGAATCATTCAAATCGGACGCACCGTTCTCTCAAAAAACTGTCCGTATCTTTGAAACGGCTGGACATCCCTTTGCCAAAAACTAATATGTAATCACGTCTTCCCATCAATACAAAACGAATGTTTTTTTAATTATTCAAACGGGTTGATTCGTGTTCCCGAAATCGTCGACGAAAATTTGTATTTGAACACACCCACACGCACACATACAACCGTTTTTTGTAAGGTGTGCCAAAATGTTCAGAAACTTTTGAAAAAAAATACTCTCGATTTTTTGCGATTACTATAACTTACTCAACGGGAAGCTAATAATTTATATCAGGTCGGATTAATAAAAATATATTCAATTAGATTTTCTCTAAACTTTTGCCTGGAAATACAATTTTAATTTAGCGATAACAAAGATAGGTTAGCAATGTGTGGATTTTTCATATCGATACGTTTTTCCCTACGAATTTTAAAACAGGTAATATATTGCAATGGCTTGCGTTTGAACTAGCGTTGAACCAATACTTCAAACCAAAATTACGATGGAAACAATTACTAAAAAAATACTGAAATAAAAGTATTTTTTTACTAAAATTAACCCGTTCTAGTTAAAAATATGTCTACTTGTAAATTTCTACTACCAATTTATTCAGATAAACCATTATAAACGTGCTTTACGTAATACACCTGAGATTTATTTTTGGACATTTTATTGCTGCTCGTGACAAGGGAGAAAATCTTATCGCGAGTACTGTATATATTTATGGATATATAAAATTAAGAAATGTTTTGTAAATAAATATGAGAAGTAAATACTTATTTACAAATACAAGACATCTAAAAGTAATTGACCAATGATTTCAATTCATGACGTACGTTCGAAATTAGTATTTTATTTCCGCATTTAATAATTGTATTGAAGTATTTTATCTAGTTGCTAAATATTGCAATCCTCATGCATTCTCTCTCCGCTGAACAAAAAAAACTATCTTAAAATTATTATATTTATTACTTTTGTAAAAGTAGCCTTTGATAATACAACTTTAGAATAGATAAGTAAATTGCTTTTCATACCTTCAATATTGTCGAATTGCAACAAATTCAAGAAAAGTAAAACTTTTTACAAGTTTTATAAACAAAAAGGCTAATTTTGTTAGAATAAATTTGTAACATTTGTTTGATAAGTAAAAAATAAATTAGTTCATTTATAAAAATCCAATACAACGGCGTAATCTTAAAAATTCTGTCGTCTTTATTTTTCTACTGCCACGAATAATTATAAAACAACATTAGGCACGAAGCTTATTGAAAGAAAACGGCGAATATAATTACCTCATAAAAGCTACAATTTGTAGAACATAAGTAAGAATTTGACCGCCTAACTAAATATTTATACACACAAACGATAACATTTTTATAACGTCATAAAAATCTGTGTCCGCAGCAACAGGCGAAAGAAAGTCAAGGGGCGCCATTAGAGTACACACCTAATGGAACGAAAATTGATACCCAAACAAAGAGCAGTATTAGACATGTAGGGGAGAATCGGGTATACTCTATCACTCTTAGGTAGAATAGAGATTTTTTGATTTTATATATTCAAATTAATTTGCTGTCATTATCAATTACTTGTTGTTATAGTTAAATGTACTTAAAACTGAACATATATGTTCAGTTTATGTGCGTGAATAGAACTATAGCAAAAAGTCATAATCGAATATACATTTTCCGCGAAACTTATTTTCACTAAACCATTTTGTCTCAAATTATCATCTTTAGTAACGCATGTGAATGAAACCATATACTATCTCTAAATTTTACAAAAATTCTAAAATTGCACATGCATATGAATATTAGGGTGGTCCTTAAAATGGTCATTTTCAAATTTCCTTGCTCCCAGGGGCTCAAATGTTTCCAAATTGATAAAAAACAATTCTCTGAAAGTTTTAGCTCTTAATATTAACGTTTAGATAGAGCGCAATTCAATCAAACTTCGTATGGAAAAAGCATGGAAAAAATTTTGAAAATTTAAAAAAATATTTTAGGTATAACTTAGCGACAATTGAATGAGGTTTATTCATTAATTTGTTCGCTAAATTACATCTAAAAAAACATTTTTAAAATTTTTGAAAATTTTTCCATGCTATTTCCATACAAAACTTTGATTGAATTGCGCTCTATCTAAACGTTAATATTAAGAGCTAAAACTTTCAGGGGATAGTTTTTTATCTATTTGGAACCATTTGAGCCCCTGGGAGCAAGGAAATTCGAAAATGACCATTTTGAGGACCATTCTAATGAATATATGTATTAGCCACGTTTTTGGAAATTTGAAAAAACATTCGAAATGTAATTGTATTTCGGATTTTTAGACCGTTCTTCAATTATGCGAAACATTTTTTCAAAACAGCTATAATAAGCTATAATATAGATGTCACATTCTCAGTTTTTTAAAAAGGTTTTATTAGTTTGCGTACTTTTTGTGTTTTTGTATATTTTCTAATTTAATTTACACTATTTATTATTACAGTAAATAATAAAAATAGTAATAATTGAGAAAGCTATTATTCTTTGTTATTGTGAGTAGTAATAATCTAATAAGTCAATATTTTGTATAAAGTTTTATACATATTGCTACACATTCTATAATATATTGTCCTTTGCTAAGCACTAGAATATAACACATCTCATAAACAAAACTTAACAAAATATACTCTCTGTATTAGTTCGGTATAATATATAGTAGAATGTAGGACCGGCAATTACTTCAACCTTGCTAGCAAATAAAAATGTCAACAAATAGCAGTGCTCCAGAGACTCTCCGGCGCACTTATTGATATAGCCTTCTCTTCGAGATAATGAATACGTAAACACAAACCTGAGCATATACGAAGTATAGGCCGTTATCCTTAACAGTGACGGAGCCGTCTGCGAGTCGATAGTGACGGTCCATGCCGAGGGCGCCCACCCATGGGGCGGGTTGCCAATCCGTAAACACTCCGTCCGGGTGACGCAACCTACCGTTACCTGCAAACAGATCATATTGACAATATATTAGATTAGTTGGGGTGATGTTGGAAACGCTTTAAAGAGCAAACTTTAAGAGCTTCTTTATCAAACAATACTTCAAAATCGCGAGTTATCTAAAATGACAATTTTTACAACTAGAATCTTTTTATCTTTCTTCTTGTTTAAAATAATATGAAACCAATACGGTCACTTCAAACGTGATGTTAATATAAATATGTTAAATAATCGAGCGTAACATCAATAAAATTATGTTTCAAAGTTTATTTGAAATCTATACGTCACTATTTTATTAAATAATAATTTTCACAAACGTTTCGAGACTAGGTCTGTCTCATCATCAGTGTTATAACAAAATTTTAAATACGGAAACCTAAATTAGCATTATGTGTCACCCGCTACATGTTGTTCGAAAAACTATTAGGTTAAACTATCAGTTTTTCGAACAACATGTAGCGGATAACACATATTTTAAATTCCATATTTTAAATTTTAAATTACAACACACTGATGATGAGACAAACCTAGTCTCTAAACGTTTGTGAAAATTATTATTTAATAAAATAGTGCAAAAAAGAGTGTTGTTTGTTCATATTTCCAAATTAATTATCCACTCAGAATACATTTGTTATATATATATATATATATATATATACGAGTATATATATATATATATATATATATATATAATTCTTGTAGAATTCATGTTAAATCTAGAGACCTTGTTCTAGAAACAAATCTTGCGAAACGGGTACTTTTCAAAAAAGAATCGAAACAGCTTTTCATCTTTGATATTCACAAATATCTTTTCTTATATTTTATGTACAACGAGTTTACTGATACGTAAAACATTGTGAAGTATTCCCAGAAAATTGGATTACAAGGTTAGCTTGCAGTCGCGTCAAATTATCGTTGGCAATTTATGTGACAAATTCATTTTGCATCTTTTTCATAAATCGGTTTGAAATAAACAGAAGAAAACATTTTTTAAATCATTACTTGGTTTCAAATTTATTAGTAGTTTGAGGCTTTTGTTGCAGTAAAATGAAATTTAATTTGACGATACATTTGACGATACATCTACTCATCTACTGTAATAATAGTATTGCATACAGAGATAAATTGATTGTGTGCGTTTAAAAATAATAATTCTTTTTTAAATATATTTTCATATTAACATGTGTGTTTTAAACAACTAAAAATCATGTGGTTGGCATTTAGCCAGTTAAATGCAATTCGACGGCAAAGCCTTCAACAATTATTAAAAATTTCTCACCATTGTAGTGCTCGTGTTTTCCTTGTTCATATCTGCTTGTGTCACCAGAAAAGTGTGCAGCAGCTAATGGACGATGGCGCACTGGTGTATGGCCGGTGGTGCCCATGTTCTCGATGTTTTTTCTTATGACACGATGCAAGCGACGTCTACGCAGGGGCATTCGAGTTTCTGTTGGCGCTACTTGTTCCTTGAAACAAACAAAAATATATTGCAATTTATATATATATATATATATATATATATATATATATATATATAGGGTGGTCCTTAATATCAATATTTTCGAATTTCCTTGCTCTCAATGGCTCAAATGGTTCCAAATTGATAAAAAACATTTCTCTGAAAGTTTTAGCTCTTAATATTAACTTTCAGATAGTGCGCAATTCAAAATAATAATAACATTTTATATCTTTTCGTATTCAATTATATTGTATTGGAATGAATATAGGGCAATGTTCGTTTATGTCTACAAAACTATATCTTATGAACCATGCACTCATTATCTCATAGCTATGCACTAGACAATGAGTTCTAAAGTTAAACAAATCGATAGAACATACTCATAGCCACTAAGTAAAGATGCAAACTTGTGCCTCAAGTGGAACGATTATAAGCATCAGGACTAATTAAGGATCTGGAACTAATCGGTTGATAAGACTGAAATAAAACATCTTTCTTTTATGTATCACTGAAATATAACACCGGGCCCGCGGAAAAAGTTCAAAAATTTCAGGCGCATTAGCCGTCCGTCTCAACATAAAAGTTATTAAAATGTTATATTAGGTTGTCAAATATCTCCCTTCCGCTTTTTTGCTCTTGGTTTATAATACAAAAAGGCGGAAGGGAGATATTTGACAACCTAATATTTAACTCATTAGCCTTAACTTATTCATCCCGTAAATAGCAGTCTGATTCATTACATTATGATTAATAACAAAGCAATATTTGTCCCGGATTAAAAAAAAACCGATAGTCCGGAGTTTTCTAAAAGTATAGGTTTAAATGGAATCTTCGCAATGACTTGATGATAAAATTACAACTACCCATCAAATATTTAAAAATGATATATAAAATGAGTATATTTGTATTAAACAGTACGTTAGGAATGAGAAAATTAGCGAATGAAAATTTTCAAAAGCAAGTTAAAATAGCTTCTCAAATTTGTAATTTTGAACTTTTACTTTCAATTTTACGACAATTAGCACTAATTGAAACGAATTTTTTGATTGCCTGGCAAAAGTAGTTATGCAGAAAATTGAACAAAATTTTAAACAAGGCTTAAATATCATGATTTTTATTATCCTCAAATAGTCTTTAGTATTTTAAATCGTATTCAAGTTTTTTAGCATAAAAACCCCTTCCTCGTACGTGCGTCCCGCACTTCCATAACTATAGGTTGCCACCCGGTTTAGGGGCCGTTCAAGTATTACGTAAGTACTATAGGGGGGCGGGGGGGTTGTTGATTTGCTTATTTTGAGTTGACATGGGGGGCAGGGGAGTCTGGATGATGATTACGTCATAGGTAGTATTTTGTTTTTTCTACATTAATTGCAAAATGTTTACGTAAGCGTGGGGGGAGGGGGTAAGAGCTTTGCTTACCTTTTCTGACAAGGGGATGGTGGGGGGGGGTAAATAATTGTAATAAATCTGCTTACGTAATACTTGAACGATCCCTTATATGTTAAAATAAAATAAAAGTTACAGTATATTAAAGGATTGAAAACACATATATTATAAGTAAATCATACAAACCTGATAGTTGCGCATATCCTTTTCGTTGGCAAGCAAACTCGATTTTTTAACAACCCTTCTGTATGCCTTGCTCTTGTCTTCACCAGTATTCATGACTCTCGATTTGCGAACGAAGACTTTGGATGTTGGCATGGTACGTGGTGCAACTGTAGTAGTGGGAACCAGGGGAGGCATTTCACGTTCCAGTGTCGCGTAGTCCATGTTGGATGGCACGCGTTTCCGACCGTGCACGGCTGGGTTGTGTCTAATAAACAAATAAAAGTATTAAATAGTTTCGATATTTTCCGACATGAAGCCGAAGATTTATACCGCCATGCGTGATATTTGCTATATAATTTGTGATTAGGAAAAAATTGCGTTATTTTAAATTATTTGTAATACCAAATTATTATAAGTAAATTATAAGAAAAACGTAAAGATTTTTATTAATAAAAGTATTGAGAACAAAATTTCAAGGATATTTATGAATAACATAATACACTATTTTTATTACAAAATAGTAATTATGAAAGTTATTGTCCTTTTAGTTGTGCAGAGATAATTTATTCATTTGTGTATTGCATGATTAAAAGTTATATAGAAATATTTGTTGCTTTAATGGGTACAACTAGTGTAACCGCCTAAAAAATGGTGTTTTTGGGTTTTTATATTAAAAAAACTACTTTATCAATCATTTCAAAATTTCAGGAATATATTTATACACGTTTTAAGAATACATAGTAAATATTTTTTAAGTTATCGTCGATCTCCAACGGCGCGACAAAAAAAAGGCCCTTAACTGCTGCAGTGATTCCAGCCTTCTACGTGGATGAAATAAAAAAAAATTCTCGTTAAACTAGATAATATTGTCTGTAAAATGAACTACGATGAAAAAAAATAAATCAAAAATTGACAAAATGGCGGCGTTTTTTAAAAAAAATTTTGGTCGTTTTTCGACTGCCAAAATTCGATTTTTGATCCGATCAAAAAATCGATAGTTCATTTTAAGAAGAACTATATAAAAACATGTAAAAAAAAATTGATAGTGATCGGATCATTAGTTTTTGAGTAATTGCAGCAAATTCGGAAAATGTCGTTTCGAGAAAAACGCGTTTAAAGATAAAATGATCGTTGTACTATATACTTTTTAAATGGCTGTAACTCAAAAACTATTTGAGATATCGATTTGAAATTTTTATATATTATTTTTAAAGGTGTAATCTACCGAAATATGAAAAAAAACAAAAATCGATTTTTTCGAAATTTCACACTAGTTGTGCCCCTTAAATGCAATTGCCCTGTTCTAGACATATTCAGGATGCATCAAATTAAACGTGAGACTAACAGCAATTTCGACTCGAATATGTGCATATAATGCACATATATCATATATATGATGTTATATGTTAATATATGATGCTATTGAAGAATTAGTATTATTAGATTGTTTAATAAAAAAATATTTTATCCATACTTGCAGGCCTAATGTTCAATGAAAACTAATTATTTTTAGATTGCACGTTTTTATAACTAAGTCAAGCAATTGTTATTTCCCGAATGGTACCTAAATTCATCATCTTTGTTCCACCCGCGCCCCTGCAGCATAGGTCCTTCATGTCGCGCGTACTTAACAAGCGATTCGTGCAGTCTGTAAGCACTCTCATCGCCATCAGTTTGATTTCTGCGGTGGGCGTAAGATTCCGCTAAGATCGGCACACCTTGTCTTGTGGCACCAGCTATTTCGCGTTTATCGCGGTTGCCTTTATCTGCTTCTTTTGCACGCCGTCTGTAAAGCATGGCAGTTTAAGCATAATGAGGCCCATACATAGTGGAATTTTCAAGGGTTGCTATTTGCATTTTTATTCATCAAAATCTATAGTTTCAAAATTTTCCATAAAAATTACCATTGGCAACTGATTTTTCGTCAGACCATTTTTCAATATATTTCAATGTTCACTAAGCTTTAGAATAGGAATTCCAATTTTATTTATATTTAACCCTTTTGCTACGATAGTGTTGTCCACAGGAGTGTCGTTGCTGATACGGATCAGCGTGTCCATTAGTAGCGCTATTGAACAGACCACAACGATATATTTAAAGATACTTCTCTTATTATCAATAAACATGTGTTGGAAAATTAAAAATTAGGCTACTAATAAACTAAAAATTACAATAAATGACTAGAATTCTGAATACTTTAACTTATAGTGATAAATCTTGAAGCAAAGGCAAACATAACATGTAGTCCATGAACGACACCTGTACACACAGCACGTCGTACGGATGTGGTCCATGGACGGCACGTGTAGAAAAAGGGTTAAATATTTAAAATATTTGTCCTATATTTGCTTAGGGTTATTCTTGCCTAATTTTGAATGAAGATCCGCCAAGCACTAGTATAAGTCAGTATTTGCCTTGCCTATTGAGTATATTACATAATTACTATTGGTACTAAATTAAATTAATAGTTTATTATTTATAATTTTCATTAACCCTCTGTCGCTCGGCGTGGTCTGGCCAGACTTCTTTCGACTTCAATTAAAAAAAAAAAAACTTCTAGTAATCCTATCGACTTGAAATTTCTTGACTTTTCCTAAATTTTCGTTAGCTGTCGATCACTGAAAAAATCAGGACGAAAAAATGTACAAAAGGATAATTATAAGGATATTAACTTTTTTATACTTCGAACGGTCGAAAAGGTCTGTCCAGACATCCCATACATTTTGTATGAAATATACGCTTTTTGATATATGTAAACCAGTATTTTGTCTTTTTTCATGGTATTTTCTATTCAAACTGCGTTGTATACTTGTTTATCTATGGTTGTATATATTTTTTGCTATGTGTTGTAACATGAATGTTAGTATTTTTATGACGAAAACCTACCAAACTTATTGGTAATCGCAAACACTGAAAATCGGATGATAGTAATACACACATTATCAACAATTTTTCTACCCGTACTGCGTTCGAAATTTTTTTTGGCAAACCTGTAGTGAAATTATATTTTCACTTTCAGTTTTACAGCTCATTTCAAAGGCGATGCACCTCATTTCGTTTTCATTTGAATTTCACATTCATTGCAAAGGCGCCGAAAAAAAAATATTGTTTTTCATTGATATAAAACAGAAAAATTAACAAAAAAAGCAACGATTTTTTTATATTTTTTGATTTTTTTATATAATATAATATGTAATATTTTTATTATAAGCAAGCTCAACACATGCAAAAGACGGTAAGAAAAAGAAAAAATCAAAACTATAAATATTTAATACTAATAATTGTTAATATATAAGACACCAAAAACTCATTTATCCCATATAAATGCATGTAAAATGAATGGTGGTCCAGCCAGACCTTTCCGACCGTTCGAAGGTGAAAAAATATCCGACCGACGAATGGTTAATGTTAACGTATTTTTTATAAATTTTCCGCCCTATTGCGTCTAATGTCATTTTGTGGTTGATGAGCAAATGCATTTCATCTGCTTACACTTGATAGATCTCCATGTTTTACAAATATTTGAATTCGGTTTATAGTAAAACGAAAACCTAGAAACGGATCATTTGACGGGAGAGATTGAATTATTATAATTAATATATTGTAATTGTGTAATATTCTTTCTTTTACAAAGTTTTCGTTTGTGAAAACGCTACAGAGATATCTCTGCACTAGTATTGATATGTGAAACGTGATCACGTCATTCTCCCTACCCTCGAATAAAAGATAAGAGCCCTTACCTGTACTCGCCAACGTCCAATAGTTCTTCGGGTGCCTCGTTGAAACTTCTCTTGTCATCTAGTGGCGACGCCGGCAACTCGTCGAGGCTCGTCTTTTCCGCGTGAGGGGTCAATATGTCATGCCTCAGATTCGCATCACTGCCGGATAGCGGTTCCGCGCTATCGTACGAGATGTCGTAGTCGTCGTCTCCACTTGCGGCGAGTTCTTCGTCACCTTCTTCGTCATCGTCCTCATCATCCTCGTCCAGATCCCCGTCCAAATCGTCCAGGCCAAGGTGGTGCGCGCCTGGGTATGATTCGCCCCGGTGGCCATTGTGGGTTTCGGCGTATATCTGAGAATAAAAATATTTTAAGTTTTAATAGGAATCAATAATTTATTTGCTTTCGTAAAATTAGGTTGTCAAATATCTCCCTTCCGCCTTTTTGTATTATAAACCAAGAGCAAAAAAGCGGAAGGGAGATATTTGACAACCTATATCAATTCAATTGACGCTTTTTTGCATCTTAAATAATTATTAGCAAATAATTATTTGAATATCAGTGCATTCACCCAACGACTAATATTCACTAACAGCTAATATGTATATGGCTAATATGTATATGGTAATTATATTTTATATAAACATCTTAAATTTGGTATACTTTCTGCATTAAATTCTTCACCCCTTGCATATACCTATAGATTTGCGCGATTAAAATATGTTTATTTTCAAATTGACGAGTTAAATAATAATTTAAGTTAGATATTACCAGGAGCGTAGTGTGCATTGGCGGGGCCCCGTATCAAAATTTTTTTGTGGGCCCCCTCGGGTATGCCAGAATTTTCCCACAAAAATCTTCACTTATCATCAATATTCATCCGAAATTTCTACATACAATTCAAATTCAATACATATACACATTTATTAAATCATTTATAGCTTATGATGGTTATTGTGTTTGATAAATTTTCTGTTTCTATAAACAATAATGATCTAATGCTATTCCTGTATCGTCGAAGTATTTAACTTCTCGAAGGAAAAGTTAATATTTTTGCCAGAAAATAGTTTTTTACAACGACAGGCCGAGCCGATTCCTTGAAATTAGGAGAAGAGTCGTCCTCATTTCAAAATCATAAACCAACCGTTTGGAATATATCGCTCGAATAGTTTTTTAGCAATTAAGTAGTTGTTGAAATTAAATTGACGATTTTGATAAATCTTTACATGATCCTTACTATCATAGATACTAAAATATTATGAGCTTGTGATAAGACATTAATTTTAAAAATTCATAAAAATTTGGAATAAATCTGAATTCTTATTAATTGGGTTGACTATTCACACATATCGGGATGTACAGAGTTTCCTAAGGCTTACACCTGATTAGCTAATTTTTTATCAGTTTTATATTTGAAAACATTTTTCAGCCTCTTTGCGGTTGCAACTGGGTAAGTATGCAAAAATTACTTCGGGAAAATTGTATGCAAAACTATTGAATTCTGTCAGCTATATAAATAAATATTTAATTTCATATTTTAGAAATATTTTTAGTGAGTTTACAATTGGTTATAAAAATTAACAGAGATTATCTTACTGTATTTAGACGAAAGTTTCATGGAGACAGGTGTTTTTCTAAATGACTTTTCATGATTATTTTGACTTTTGTTATTTGTGAAATAAAATAAAAATTCGTAAGATTCTACTAACTTTTGCGCATGTTTGGAGTCCCCGTGCCCCGTGGCAGAAAAACTAAAACACTTTGAAATAATATAATAATTTTACATTTCTCGCGTCCTTCTTTAATGACATTAATTTTGATTGAACAAAGTTTTCGCGATTAATTAACTTTTTGGTGAAACACCTTTTATATTATTTTCTATTGCTTACGAACGTTGGGGGCTCCCGCTGGCTCGGGGGCCCCGTATTTTTGATACGGCTGATACGGCGGTAGTTACGCCCCTGGATATTACTATTAAATTTTCATTCTTTATTATTGTGTGTGTTAACTCCAACGTCGTATGCCAAAAAGGGCATTTTATTATTATAATTTGTGAAAGAAAGAATAATTGCGATTGTGGTAATCTGAAGTTAAACCTGATAATAAATAAATAGTGGATAGTACTGCCCAAGGGTAGGTACGTGAGCCGCGTTAAACTCCAACTTGATTCAGGAAAGAATAGTGTGAGAGATTTCCTATTGCCATTTCACACCGCAGAACTCGAAGGCCCACTTCATTTTCATTTGAATTTGGAAATAAATTTCTCATTTGTATTTTCAAGTGAAAATACATATCGCTATTACTACACGGTATCAAGTTGTTCAGAGCGGGGTTTGAGCTCACGACCCCGACAACACGAGTCCGTGAGCTTTTAACCATTACACCATAGAACACTAAAAAATCTGGTAATATTATATTAAGTTTCTTTTTCAACACGCTACTGTAAGCTATCTTTATTTGGCAAACCTAAACTCACGCCAATAATATACCGTTAATAAATAATTTATGTAATTGAGATTTGTCCCTTACTGTTATTATGAGACCAATTTAATTTATTTGATCAAATCCAAAGCACATGCATGAATATTGTTTAAAATGTATTGTCTCATCAGTCATTAAGAAATATTTGGTTATGTATCAGAACAAATATGCGTAAATAATCCGTAAACATTCCGTACGTTGCCTTTCTGGTTTCGCTATAAAACGTTTTATCGTCAAAACGAAAAACAGAATTATTACTGTTTCTGATGGTTTGTTGATGAGTTTTTTTTGAAAGAAGAGAAAAAACAAGCTCGGCGTCCGCGCGTTGAATGGGTGTTTCTTCTCACGAATTTGCTCGATGAACTTTAAATGATTGAACAATTTGCGTGCACGTCACAATCATTCCTCGTGGGTGACGTGCCGTACAGCTGATCACTATTAATTTATTGCCATTGTTATCTCGGCAAATAATCACCAATCGCTTAGCACGCGACAACATAATCATAACATGTAAGCATGATACACAGGAAAATAATGCAGCAGTATTTATAAAACGTAATTAAACCCAATTATTTTACGAATGATTTACTATATCCGTAACCAGTAAAATTTTTTTTAGCTAAACGGTCTGAAACTTCTCGTCTTGCGTTTATGATGAATATATGTATGTCTACTTTAAGAACATAAATATAAGTTACATACAATAATTGTTAAATAATACTACATCTAAAGTTGAAAACATATCAATTCGCGATTGGTAAAAAGTTGAAGCCACACAAAATCAATTAATTATTCGCAATTGTTATGATATATATATATATATATATATATATATATATATATATATATATCTAAATATATGAGGGCGGGTCGATTTGTATGGGTAAAAAGTCACATAGACACATGATTTTCGTATACTAGGGATCAAAATAAGATACTTTCCCGAAGAAACAATATCTCTAAAATGAATTCTGATGTTCCATGCATTACCCCAAAGATTGGATAAAAATCCTGTTTTGGCTCATTTAAAGCGCCTCAATAATGTCCAAATTAATGATTGACCCCCAGTAACTTTGAAGGTCGACCAACCCATGCCCATGGTTCACTCCCTGGGACCTCCCTTTAGAAGGTGG